TGCTTCCGTAAAAACAATAGATAGTAATAGGGACAATAGACATTGAGGTTGTGGGATAAAGCACATTCCTGGATCTTCTTCCTGACAACTAGACTTTTATTGATTGCTGGGAGCTCGTATTCTGACTTTCATGGTCTCAGGACTGTGTGACCATGTTTTAACAGGACCTCTTAGGGTTTAGTACCCTCATTTTGAAACTGGTGTGCAGTACATGTATACTGCATATTGTGTCATATTATGAGATGTAATGCCATTGCCGTTCCTGTTACTTCCTTGTGTCTCAGATTTTTTTTGTTGCATCAATTTTTTTAGAGCATATACAGTACCAATTATTTTCTAAATTCTAACTTTAAAAAATGTAAGCCTGGAAAAAGTGATGTCAAGTGCATTGTTATAAAAATAATTTTAGTAAATGCTATGAATTAAAATATGTACAAGTAATAAGTACATATTATAGTGATTGTGTATAACAAATTGTAACTTTAATTTGTGGATATGTTTTATTCTGTATGTGGTGACGTGCATGAATCCGCTCAGTATTTCAGCACATTGAACAATATAATCAATTAGTAAATAGACAAGGCATACCATACATAGTAATAGCAATAAAGGATCTGCTACTCAAAGATTCACAAGGCCATTCCAATTTTCATGTTGATTATCTCTGCAAATATAGGGACATTATTTAAATTCACTAGCAATTGCTTATGCAAACACAGAATTTCTGTGAAAAAATGACCATATGATCATGTCAATATTACCTGCAAATTGAACTTTTCTTAAGCAAACTTTTATGGCAAACATGCATACAAATTGTTCTACAAACTGACACCAATGAATCTCATCTCATTTTAGGAAATGTATAATTATATACCAGACGTCTGTTCTGATTAGGAATAAAATAAATGTATGTCCTTCTATGTTCTCCACCTTTAAAAAAAGGCTCAATAGAAAAAAGGCTAGAATAGAATAAAAAAAAAGACTTAAAGAAAAGGCAATGTGGCCTTGCTAATATAAAGAATACAAATATTTAAACGTGAGTGCACAGCACCAGGAAAAGGTAAGTCTGCCATTATGGCAAAGAAGGGTCCACACAATGTATCCTGGCATTAGAACTCAGGTCAAGAGCTGCTACCATTGGATGGTCACATGGAGGCACTGGCCAATGTGCAGAGGAGAGATATCCTTGTTGTATGGTTGAGAAGAGGAAATAATTCAAAGATATATGTGACTGATGCATGCATTTGGATGACACTTACAGGGTTATTCACAAAAGGGGGAAGGGTTTGGAGAAGGCAGGAGAAGTGAACAATCTAAGACAAAATAGCTGAACTGGAAAGTGAGCTGATTTGGAGAATTTTTCCAAATCTGCTATTTTGGCCTAGATTGTTCACTTCTCCTACCTTCTCCAAACTCTTCACCCTTTTGTGAAAAACCCTGTTAGAATTAGATTTTTAAAATAATTTGCTAGAATTCGCAGTTTCAAATGTTATAGCTTGTAGAGGGGCATAGTCTGGTAACTAATGATTACAACTTGTTAAAAATGGAGTGATGCTACAATGATTGAGTGGGTTCCTGGGTATGCATTTCAGATCAGAGCCTGTTTTTGTAGTTCTCTGTTTGTTATGTTCTGAGTTTTTCTGAATCTAACATACAGGTATCATAGGAACTGACTGTTTGATTTACTGTACCTAAAGATAGGAAATATAGACTATCAGTGATCAGTAAAGTATTGGTGCACATTGAAACGCCTATGTACTGTTCTGAGCCATGCTGACTATAAGAACTCTAAGTAATAGGCAGTGACTGAAGCTAATGAATTCAAGCCCTTAAGCATAATGTTTAAAGCAGTAAGATGGGCTAGCGTTTCTGAAGATTTTACAGTAAATGCAAAGGGATTCTTTAGGAAGAACAAGACACAAAAAACATAACATATCCATATATTTGCAATTGAGCATATTTTTACAGCTCCTTAAGCATTCCATATAAACCTGTACTGAGGAAGTTCATGGTGTGCTTGTGCATTTGATCTGCAAGATGTTACTGTTTTGAAGGTTGTCATAAAACCATATGTTCTGTACAAAACTAAGGCAGCATCATAAAGCTTGACCCGATGTCATGTTTTGCCCTTGACCTTATTAACTACATTATCTACAGTCTTTCTAATGTGTTTCTATGAACTGTTAATCAAAGTTAACATCTCTACACAAATACATGTTGCACAATAGATAAATCAGCAGCATAATACATAAAAGAAAATATGCAGATTTTGGCCACCTGAAGAAACCTTAATGATTACATAAAGTGGTTAAGTGTTTAAAAAATCCAGAGCATGCATGGGCTGCTGTCATATAAAGGGAGTGGTCTTTAAGCATTATTACTGCTTACTGTTACATAGAAACATAGAAGACTAGGCAAAAAAAGATTAAGTAGCCAATCAAGCATCCACTACTCCTTTGGTAAAATAATACTTCCTAATGTTACACTTGAACTTCCATAAGGCTAGTTTAAGGTCATGCCCCGTGTGTCAACTTCATATAGAAAATAATGTTTTACAGGTTTCAGTCATGGCCTCCATTTCTCTTTCTTTACTTAAGGCTGTACATAAGTTTCTCCAATCTCTCCTGATATGTTTTATCCTTCATCATTCAATGAAAAAAACCCTTAATGCTCAGCTATTTGATGCAAAAGCTGGTGCAATGCCCTTTTTCCATAAAAAATTATGTTTTTAGTCACCGAACTTTGCTAGAACTTTGTTGGACACGTGACCTGAGATTCAACCTCTCGATAGCGCATGGTCCACGCCCCATAATCCTCCCAGGCGCCGCTGTCCCCCACTTCCCCCACCCCCCTCCCACCTTCTCATCCTCCTTCCTCTTCCCCCTTCCTTCCTCTGTATGACTGTCTGCCTCCACTAAGACGTTACGACAGTCCTCCCTACTATGATCCTCCGCATCTTTCTCTAAACTTTACTGCTCAGCCTCCCTAAAACCTTGGCTAACGTACTGGCATATATATCCACCAGGTGGTGGCCACCAATAAAATTGATAAACGATAACAACTGTACGCTGCAAAGGATATAATAATTAGGTTATGCTATTTAATTAACCCCTACGTGCTAATACCATTACTCGTTTGTACTCCAAGTACCACCACCTGACATGGGTGCATATACTTTGCTTTCTTCACTTTATTTGCCAATACAAATTTATTGCAATATAAAGAAAAAGGGGCACATTTTGATAGCGTGGCATACGTATCTACACAACTACAGATAGCAATTACTAGTTACAATCAATGACCTGTGTATCTTATAGCATACTATTAATGCCACTGATGTACCGAGGCCCAGAACGCGAACCTGTTGTTGTTTACATGTGATTGATGACTTACCACTTGTAGTGGATACTTTTGTTATACTTTTATACACCAATAAAAATCTATTGAACTAAAAAAAATAAAAAATATGTTTTTAGTACAAATGTGGCATGGGAAACCTGCATTTGCCAAACACACAGAAGAGAAGTATAAATTGACATATTTTTTAGTTTCGCCTTATCTTGCTGGAGTGTGGCCATACAAGACTCTATCTTTGAAGACAATGAGACATTTAAAGCATTGTTAGCTATGTTGAGGTATCTTTTTAATATTTTTTGTGCTAATGGACTCTGACCTTTCTCACAGAAAAGTGAGTAAAGTTTTCACTGCAAGCACACCATATTCATCCATTTAGGAGATGATTTTGGTGAACTGTTATGGCACAGTGATGCTGAACAGGTTGGGTGCATATCTTTCCATTCATGGCTCTTAGTCAGACATTTGCCCGAATATATTCAGCATTATAATGGCTGCAGTCTTTTCTTCAGTCCAGTTTTGGGGAGGGGCGGCGTACATGGCTTATTGTGGCAGTTTAGCTGTGCAGAGGTTTTTGTAGCCTTTAGCTAATCCTTCACTTTTGAATGGAAAAGGGGGACAAAGTAGTCAGTGCATTATCATCACTAACATTAACAGCCTAAAAGTAAAGCATTTTTAGCCAGATTACAATGGCACATAACCCGTTAAAGCATTGGTAGATGTCACAAGACCTTAGTGAGACTAATGCCCACCATTATTTATCATTATGCCCACCATTATTACTATTATGGAATTAAAAAAGTACAATGTTACAGTGGTTGTGTATAAAAGATTGTACCATTAATCCTCACACTTAAAGATGGAACTGCCATCCAGCTAACTGCTATATGGATCTGTTGAGATCTATTATTTTCCAACAGCTTCCAACACTATTTTAAATAAACACATCCAGTATTAGAGATTTGATTAGATTTGTCATCAGTAGTTGTATTTTTACATGGAAGTTTGGTACAATTAAGCTTAAAGTTATTAGATTTAAAAATCAGACTTTTCCTTTAAGATCAAAAACACAACTGGCAGTCCCTCCCCTCATGCCAAGGTGCTAGGTGTAATCCTGGACTCCTGACATGTCCTTTCAGCCCCACATCAAATCAGTGTCTTGCCACTTTCTGCTCCGTAACATTTTCAAATTCCCCCCTTCCTAACCAATCTAACCAAACCAATCACCAAACTGCTAATTCACTGCCTTCTTATTTCTCACCTTGACTATTGCACCTACCTCGTTGTTAGCTTACCTTTACACAGACTATCCCCCCTTCAGTCTATCATGAATGATGCTGGCAGATTCATCTGCCTTACCAACTGTTCAGTGTCCACCCCTCTCTGCCATTTCCTCTTCTGGGTCATAATAATAATAATAATAATAATAATAATAAAAAAAAAAAAAAATTGTATGTGCAAAAAAAGGTTATTAGTACACTGCCTGAATATTGCTATTTCCAAGTATTCCCATACATTATGTTTAGAATGTACATAAAACATCTGAACACCTGTTTTCCTATTTGCTCCTGGAAATAGTGTTTATTAGAAACATGTGAATGCTGTCCATTTTTATATGAAAAATTCATAAAAACATTTATTTTCAGGAAACTCTAAAAAGAAGCTTATGTGCACCGTGTGTAACAAAAAGTGCTCCTCGTCAATCAACCTCCAAGAGCATCGAAAGGTCAGTTAATGAAGGCTTGGCACATGCAAGTCTGACTTGTAAAGATATAAGGTCAGGGATTACAAGTGTTGACAATTTACTGTCTTTTATGTTATTGGTTGGTGTTCATTGGCCCATAAAATGTTGGTCCTAGTTAGAGAAAGGTGTAGTAACAGACTCCTAGAAACATTTTTATTCATTTTATAGACAGTCTGTCTTCAACAGTGGGCAGCATATTCTATATATAGTTTACTCTGTTGGAGAATACAAAATAGAAATTAAAATCGATTTCAACAGCTTTGTCTACCACCTCTTTGCCTCCATTGTGAGTATGCGCCTAAGCATATTTTGCTTATCCTTATTATAGTTATAGTATATTATAACTTATAGTTATAATAATACAATTTTAATTAGACTTTGCCAGTGGACAGTTCACATAAATGAGATTAACATCTCTCCATATTGACAACAATTATTTAAAAAAAAAAAAAAATATTTTAACAAAATTGTAGAAAAATGAAACATATGTACCCTAAAGGCCAGTCAGAATGTGTAAATGATATTACCACCAAATAGTAAAGAAAAGGCTCAAACTGCTTCCCTAAATTCTTCTAGCCTGGGAGTAACAAAATTACATAAAAAGCATGGCACAAGCTTAAAAAGAGAATAAAAAAGCAATCCTTTTTTATTTATTTATTCAAAAACTCTGTTTCTCTAAAAACTGTGATTGAATCATTGTGTACCTCTATTCAGCACCAGATGACCAGCAACACAATCTAGGTAAGAGGCTAAGGACCAGAGGATAATATGCAGGGGTTCCTAGGGAGGCTATTGGTGCTAAGGTAGACATTACAGAGCCTTATGAATCCTAAGAGCCTAAATAGGTGTTCCTAAACTTTCCCAATGGCTCAACATCATGAGTCCTCTTATGTCACTTAAAACACCTTTTTGCAGTATGCAGCAGGTCCTGTGTTGAACAGAAAAAAGGGAAAGATTCTTGCCTGTGTATAGATAATATTCCAGTGTCACTGTGATGGGTTTTACTCAATAAATTCCCTGTACCACTAATTAAACAATATATTGTATATATGTTTCTATTCTATGTTTTCACAGTGTGCTTTAGCTGTAAGGACTTTGTCATTGTATGTATAAAGCAAATACATTTATGATATTGCTAGCCGCATCTTGAATAGAACAGGCTTTTTCCCATGGAGAGGGATGGGGACCGCATTAGAGACACCGCCAGCAACAGCCTTCTTGGGGAAAAAAATTATAGTGATCAGGACAGGAAAGATCCAACCCACCAAGTTGCATTGGCTGTGAGATAAGGCTACAGACATACAAACCTTTTCCAATCTGACTATAAAGATCCAGATCGGTCGAATGTTCTCTGATGTAAGAAGGCACCTTTATTCCAGTCCTGGGTGGTATTTTTGGAAAGTGATACTTGGAAATTCCAAAGCTGCCACTTGCCAAGGATCTCTCTTTGTCTTAATTGTGCTCTGTACTATGGAGCCATGATACATATTTAGTCAAATAACTGCAAGGGTTGGTGCTCGTTTTCTCTACGAAGCTAAAATAACAGATTTATACTCACCCGAACCTCAGTCCTGCCTGGCTGCAAGACCAGTCCCTGTAGCCCCGCTTCCCTTCCGCTCCAGTGATGGATGTCCCTCCGTGTCATCATGTCCAAAACACTGTATAGGACGTGATCGCTAAGGGACCTTAGACCGCTGGACAGAAGGTGGACCAGTCTAGTAGCCAGCCGGAATTGTGGTTCTGGTGAGTAATAGTATAACTCTGTTATTTTAGTTCCCTAGATAAAATGAGCACTGAACCCTTGCAGTGCGGTGGTTGCCTCACTGCAATGGATAAGATTTTATTTGCCCTGAGTTCTTCTATAAGGAAGGAGGTGGTCTTTGCTAGGATTCCAGCCTTATTAACTTAGTGCAGAATAACTGCTATGTTAATACAATGTTAATATAATTATTCTAAAGCAATAACTAAAAAAAAAAAAAAATCCAACATTTAACTGTTTTTCATGGTGATCCGATAGTGGTGTCTATGCAATATGTACAGTGTATTAAGTTTCTCTAAAGCTGAAATTCTGCCTAATTAAATTACTCTCTGGTCAGTCAGTACTGTTCCTTATGTGCTGCTGAGCCACATAGCAGTCACACAGCCTTCTGCTTGTATGCAGAATGTGAATACATAGGGGTCTGTTCACGAAGCTCCCGAAGGATCTAGCCGTAGCTTCGGCCGATCCTTCGGCTAGCTTCGGCCCCTGGACCCCTTCGGTTCAGTGAAACGACCCGAGGACACGTGGTATCAAGGAGAGGGATCATTACTGGTTGGCAACCCTTCTTGATCCACGTTACAAGCGTAAAGTTGCAGAGCTCAGGGAGCACAGGATGAAACAACTTAAGGACGCATTGAAGCGAAACTTGGTTAACACCTTTCGAGACATTGGTAGGTTACCATTTTCTGAGGGTTTCTGAGGCTTCGGTTGGTCAAAGGAAGAGCGTTGGAGAAGGGGGCCGCCTGACTGATGCCTTTAGAATTTTTTTTAGTCCTCAGCGCTCAGGGCTGTTAGTAGTATTAGTATTAGTAGTAGTATTGTGAATAGCCCGGCTGAGCCGCGCTGAAAGCCGAAACTGGCCGAGTGGCCGGCCATCGGCCAGCCGACAGCCTGCTTCTGACAGCTGGGCGGAGCCAGCCGTGATCTTACGGCTGGCTCCAGTCGCTTGCAGAGAGATCAGCGTCCCTGGTTACCAGCTAACCAGGGACACTGATCTCCAGACAGCAAACTCTCCCGGGCGCTCCGGGAGTCTCCCGCTCCCGGCCGCCAAGGAGAGATACACTGCTTTTTCTTTTTTTTCTTTATTCTGACACGGAGCCGTGTCAGAATAGAATTTTTTTAAATAATTTTTGCCCATAGGAATGCATTGCTAGATTCCTATTGGCTATTTCCTCTGCTGATGGACCTGATGGAGAACTGCAGCAGAGGGCGGGTGCAATGCTAGTTTACTATTGGCTATTGCAAATTGAAATAGCCAATAGGAATCCAGCAATGCATTCCTATGGGCAAAATTTCTTTTTTTTCTATTCTCCGTGTCAGAATAAAGGAAGAGAAAGAAAAAGCAGTGTATCTCTCCTGGGCGGCCGGGAGCGGGAGACTCCCGGAGCGCCCGGGAGAGTTTTTTTTTTCACTTTTTTTGACGGCAGCAGAACCGCTGGCCAATAGAAAACTATTGGGCGGAGCTAGCTGTCATCGCTAGCTCCGCACAATCGTTTTCTATTTTTTAAAAAACTTTTTAAACTACTTTTCTGTTCTGCTCGGTCCGCCTGAGGGACGGAGCAGAAGAGCTGTGCGGCATTCGGCTATTCACTCACTGCTGTTCGGCCTCTATACGTGAAGCCACCTGATGTACGGCTGATTTCACTTCATTTCAGTCTTTCACTCGGCTGCCTACGGCAGCTTGGGGAATAGACCTCATAGTTTAGGGATCCAGGAAGAAGCTGGGAAGCAGTATAAAAATTATAGGGTATAAACGGGCAACTTTTTGTGTCTGCATTCACACTTAAATGTTGCTTAATACACCTTTTTTAATACTCTTTTTTTCTTATGGCAGTTTACTATAATTAAACGGGAGTGGTTCATAATATTTTATTCCACTGCCACCTATGGAAGTGAAAAAGAAATTACCCCATCTCTCTCTACCTCTGAGTATGAATTAGCATAGGTAACATTGGGATAAAAGTAATAATATGGGAATAACACTAGACTGAGCTTAGTATACTTAGTATAGTTTTTGGCCAAAATGTTAATATGCTACAATATCTAATAGTTATGTAGTGATCAATTTTGATTACTATTGCATTCATATCTAAGTCAGTCAAGTAGGCTGTTGTTGGGCTCAGCTTACCTGGAGCAGCCAATTTTGTCAAAGCCAAATAGGACAGTAGCTTGTGGCAAGAAGGAAATTAGCCCATTTCTTTGAAGAATATTTCAAATTTTTTTCCCCTCAGAATTGTGTACATCTTAAGCTTGGCTGTCACCCATGTGCTTAAGGTACCTCATCTGTCAAGGTAGAGAACACTCTTATTATACTTGGAAATGTGGTTAACTTGTACCACATGCTAACTGAGGAAATGTCATCCTTCTTTGTCAGTTTCCACAAACTAGCCATCTGAACAATGAAATGACAGGGTACATGTGGTCTAATCAAAGACTAGGTACATCATTTGAAGGAGAAAAAAAAAACACTTGATGCATAGAGGTCCACAGATGTCTAGCTGTCTGCACACATGGTTGACTCATATTTAGTAGGAAGAAGGGTTTTAACTTTGTCCACATATTTGTAACGTGAAATACATTTGATATTTTTATGCAACAATATAGTTCATGGTTCATAGTTTCAAAAGTAAGCTATGCTTTATGAAACGGAGCAAAGTGAAATTAAAGGAGAACTATGAGGTGAGTGAAAATCACTCATCCTCATAGTTCGAGCCGACATGTGACAATTAAATTGTCACACGTTGGCTCAATAAATCAGGAAGTGAGCGAACACATACCGTCGCTCGCTCACTTCTTGATTATCTCCCTGCAGATAGCAGTGCCTGTCAGTCACAGCTCCCTGCAGGGATTCCCCCCTCCCCGCTCCGATCCTCCAGAGCTGACTGGAGAAACAGATGGGGGAGGGGGCGGACACAGCTGGCTCTGCCTCTAGGTAGGCAGAGCCCGCTGTCAATCAGCCAGCTGGGGGAATCTCGTCAGCATTGTCGGGATCCGTCCCGGCTACGGCGGCCTAAGTATACCGCAAGCTGTTGCTCGCGATATACTTAGCTTTGGGGGTCGGTTGGTTTGCTAGTATATGTCCTCCCGTGACCCTTAAGAGAACTATGGGGAAAAACACTTACCCCATAGTTCTCCTTTAACTAAGTTCCTTGTTTTTAAGCAACTCCTATGCTTATCCAAGGCCATCATAGAATGCATAAAATATCCTCTACAGAGAATAACAACAAATGTAAATACAATACGACAATCAGTTGATTGTATAACATATCTAGTTTCCCCCCTTTTTTCCATGCATTTAAAGATTTAGTGTGTAGCTGGTGGAAAAAGATTAAGGGCTCATTTAGATGCATGTTCAATGAGGTGCGTTGTTTTTGTAGCTTTAGGCAGGTGTGTTGTCATGCATCAGTGTGAATTTCCTTTGTGCATTTGCGTGTGTTGTTGACACGCATTTCCAATGTGTTTTTAAATTTAGGATTTGGAGTAGATTGCGATAACAGCCAGTGACCAAGGCTTGTTATTAGCTGTTGCACATAGGCTTGTTATATATAGATTTGTTAATACCTGTTGTGTTGGCAAGAGGTATTAACAAAGCTATGTATAACAAGCCCGGTATATGCATTTTGATGCTTTATTGACTTCTGTGGGCATCCCTAATACAGTGAAAAAGCAGAAAAAAACAGACATGTAAACAAGCTGCATTGCACCGCAGAGTTGGGAACAGCCGTGTTTTAGCACATTGTAACACGTGTGTTAAAATGCAGCAGTGTAAATGGGTGTTAATTTGGTTTACTGCACCTGGTCCCACCTAAGTAAAAAAGTCAGGAAATGTCATGGTGATAATGCCAACAAGAGGAGATGAATCCTTACAATAAGAGTGGTGTATGCTATCTGAAACATTTACACACAAACACAGTTGTCTTTTAACATGCACTGCAGCAGTATTTACAAGTCAGTATTTCCCCCCTGAACCAATATCATTATTATTCTGCAGCCACAAAGCCGGGTTAAAAATGGCAGTCAAGCAATTATCAAATATAAATTATATTTACCACTATTGCCCAGATTTCATTAACATTGACTGCACTATCTTTTCTGTGAGCACAAGAAGAAGGGGACACGTTTCGTGGCTGGATTATTACCCAGTAGGGATCAGCAATTGAGTCTACCAAAACTGGGATTTACAGTTGATAGGGGGAATATGCTGGAGGAATATTTTTTTTAGATTTGAGTAGAATGGAGAGGGATTAGTACACCTGTCAAGTTTTTTTTGCTGTCTGTGTTATGGAGATTCACCCTCTCTATTTGTCCTGAAGACCTCTGTCACTGGAAGTGAAAGTGAACGAAAATCCTAAATATTAGGTTGTCACCAAAACAGGAATAGATGGTAAATCTTCCATAGGGATGCTAGTTCTGGTGACCCTGCTGTTTTCCTCACTTTCTGTTTTGGACAGGAAGTAAAGGGAAATCTCCCCAATGGGACACAGATTGCAAAAAAAAGCTGACAGGGGTTATAACCACTCCTTCTCTATGCAAAACTAAAAAAAGAAAATTGGCTTCAGTTCTGATTTAATGAAATCTGAGTTTTTAATCTGATACTATTTGCGCTACAGAGTTACAGAGCATACAACCAACAGGTAACGCGTTTTATAAATTATTTTTATTAAAGGAGAACTATGGGGGTTAGGGCTTTTCCCCATAGTTCTCCTAAGGGTAACGGGAGGACACAAACTAGCATCGACCCGTCACCCAAAGCTCGGTATACCGCGAGCTACAGCTTGCGGTATACTGAGACGCCGCAGCCAGGAGGGATCCCGACAATGCTGTCTGGATCCACCCAGCTGCGTGGGTGACAGCTGGCTCTGCCTATCTAGAGGCAGAGCCAGCTGTACCCGCCCCCTCCCACGTCCGTTCCGCCAGTCAGCACTGGAGGATCGGACAGTGGAGGGGGATCCCAGCAGGGAGCCGTGAGTGACGGCTCTCTGCAGTGATAAATCGAGAAGTGAGCGAACGACGGTATGTGTTCGCTCACTTCCCGATCTACTGAGCCAACCTGTGACAGTTTCATTGTCACAGGTCGGTTCAGATTATGAGGCTGAGTGAAAATCACTCGCCTCATAATTCTCCTTTAAAGAAAAAAATGTTCCCATTGATTTTTGTCTGTGAGTAACTATTATTTTTGTAGAATGTAAGATTTGTCTGTAATATATGTTATATTAGCAGAATTTGAGGGATACCAATGACACATTTCTTTAGGAGCCAGTTGCAGTTATTTTTAGAGATGTGTGTAAATGACAGCTGCAATACATTTCCATTTCTCTGTATATTTAAAAAATCTGCCATTATAATATAAGCCTTTTTTATTTATTTATTTATCCAATAATAGCTGGGTGTTGAGGATTAATGGGATCCAGGACAGTAGGAAAATTTGTCTTGAATGATAATCATGCCACACCAGGAAATCTGAATGTATGGGATGACAGAAGGACTACATAACTCTTCACAAAACAGCTTTGTAATACCAGAGCCTGCATAGTTCTTTTTTCAGATCATGTTCTACATAGTGCTACAGAGATGCAAGATAGAAGTTTGTCACCATCCACTTTTTTTTGTGTTGAATCTACAGTGAAAGAAATGCAACTTCTGTCAAGTTTTTATAAAGCTGTTTGTGACATCATTGGTGCAAATTTTATCTTACTTTTTTTTATCCCTGTGACATCAGGGCAACATTGTGTTGCATTTTCTGTTTCCATTTTCCTTCAACATTGGGATAAGAGAAGTTAAGAAATATTCCAGACAACAATATGCAATAGATCAAAGTTTAATTATCTCCCTATCCAATACAACAATGAAAATGTTTGGTCCAGATCTGGATTTTAAAGGAAATATCTAGTGGTTTTGTATTTATTATCTATCTTTGCTGTGTTTAGAAAAAAAGAAAATCAAAAACTTTTTTTAGATTTTTTTTATTTCGGTAAAAAAGAAATGTTGCATATTTGTATTCTTGTTTTGGAGCTTTTTGCACCGTTTTCTTCCCTTTATAGATTACTTACTGCCTTTGATTAAAAAGCCTGTAGCTTAGTTAACCTTAGTTTATACACATAAGTAAAATCTACGTAGACCTAGTTCAAACACTGCAATATTTCTTGTTTGTCAGCGCTTACTGGAGGAACAGATGGGGAGGGGGTGGGCACAGTCGGCTATGCCTCTCTACATCAGGCAGCTGGGTTGGATCCCGACAATATTGTTGGGATCCATCCCAGCCGTAGCACAACTGTGTGCTGTCAGCCTTGCCCGCTATTTGCTGATTTTTGGGTCACAGGAGGACCTTAGTATATGTCCTCCTGTGACCCTAAAGAGAACTATGGCAAAAAAAAGTTGGACTATAGTTTTAGTTTTTACTGAAGTGAAATCCGTAGAGAGGTTCAGGACCAGGCAGTGCTTTCTGGATGGGTTCTTTGAACACAACTACAAAAACGTTTGCATACAAACTAGTTCACATAAAGGTAATCCAACTGTTTATTTAGATGTTAATCTGAAGTGTTAAATGGTTGTCTTTATAGCTGTTCATAGATGCCAGAAGCAGTTAGATATGCAGGCATTATTCCATCTCCCTCAGGCATCTGTGCTGGCCAACACATTTCTAGACATCTCATCAGATGACTATTTGTGCTTAGGTCTATGGAACATGGCAGCAAGGTATTCTACATCACCACTGACTTATAAGCAGGAAATAGTAATTGAACAATTGTCCTTGCCGGACATTTTTTTTTACCATAGCCATTAGATTTTCTGACTGGAGCAGAAGACAACAAACATCTATGGGCACCTTATGGGCCATTTTGTTCACTTGAGCTTTTTGAAGAACATTCATCTGAGCTGTCAGTGTTATTGTTCTTTTGTTGTTTCCTAAACTGATGTACACCAGATGCTTCTCTTATAGTGTGACTTTGTATTCATTAAAAAGTTTGATTTTACATGTTCTCAGAAACAAACAAAATATGCAGATCGTAAGAAAGCACATTACTGTATACAAGGACCTTCCAACACTAAACACTTACATTGTGAACAGAGTCACATTTTTAATTATCATTAAACACTCGTTTTACAGGTTCATGAGGTCTATGAGTGTCAGGATTGTGACAAGAAATTTATTTCAGCTAACCAGCTTAGAAGGCATATGATAACTCATTCAGGTAAAACAACCACCTATGCATGCTTATTTTATAATTCAGGCAGTATTACAGAAAGTGCACATAGTGTGTTGTGTGTTAGTTACTGTAGATTAACAGTTAAGATTTTAGAATTGTAAGCAAGAAATCCAAATTTTGGAACATTTTTTATTCATTGTGTATTTTATGAAATGCATTGCACATATTCCCATGTATAATCTTGAAGCTAGCTTTCTTTGAAGTCCTTCTCTTTTGATTTAAGCTAGTTAATTCGATGTCGGTTTGAAAAGATTATTTTTAAGTCTGTGGCAATGTTTCGTTCTTCCATCCGTTATGAACTATCATGTTAGAAAGGGCATTAGATGCTTTTCTAATTGGTTAATCTTAATTGGACTGACTTAAATGCAACAGTCTCTATGGAGAGTACTCTGTTTGCCTTTCATCTTCTACCTCCCCTCCACTGAACTACAGATTAAATGTCCCCAATCATTTTCTGCAGAGAAGCGCCCCTACACCTGTGAGGTTTGCTGTAAGTCCTTCAAACGACTTGATCAAGTGACCGCTCACAAAATAATTCACAGCGAGGACAAACCTTACCAGTGCAAGCTCTGTGGAAAGGGATTTGCCCACAGAAATGTTTACAAGAATCATAAGAAGGTAAACAACTAACATTGGTGTTTGCAATGGCATTTTGCAAAGCTTTCCACATTTGTTATGTTAAAGTGGAACTATCATCTATATATAACATCATATTGTTCAATATCTGGGCAGACTGAGCATATAACTGAACAACATTTTAACTTGTAGCTATACAGTGACTAAATTATAACAAGGTTATTGTTTTTTTTTTTTTGGTTTCTTTCAAATGTGTTTTAAAGGATAAGTAAACTGAAAGCTTCAATGAATAAAAAAACTCCCTTTGCAGTGGGGCTACCCCTGTGCTTCAAGGGTTAATTGTTTATTTATATCTAGGGGAGCTACATATAGGACTTTTACTTACCTGATGCCTGCTTTCCAGTTGATAGCATTCATCTTATCCCCCCTACACTCCAGCTTGTGGACTGTCCCCCAGTGTCCACACGTATAATGAAGGGCTATGTGATGACATCAGCGGGCCTCCGACTGCTGGAGCACAGGGGAGAAGAGGCTGCAGATTTTGGTGCCCATGGATCCTGTGGGAGTGGGGATCAGGTAAGTAAAAGCTTTTTACAAAGGTCTCCTAAGCATTAATATGCAGTTGACCCTTGCATTGCAGGGGTAGCCCCACTGCAAGGGAAGTTGTTTTTTTCCCCCTTAAGATAGGCTTTAAAAAATAAAAAATGAATTTATTGCAGCTTACCTATCCTTAAAGGTGGTGGCTACATTAGTTTTCTTTTCAGGTCAAGTACAGAAAATACTTGTTAATCTTGCAGCATCCTTGTCACTTTCTGTGAGATAAACTGGAGGTATTAAACAATCTTACCCTCCCTTTGTAAACTACTAAACTTCTCATTCACCATGTAATGGAGATGAACCAACGTAGACATTTGCCCTTCCTGGAGGGCACCCATTGCTCCCTCTATAGACTGAGTGTAGGAGATAGTGTAGCCTCCCAGGAACACAAAGTGTAATATTTGCAGAATTACCAAGTGAAAATTAAGAAAAAAGGCCTACAAAAAAAATAAAATAACACAGCAACCTCATCTAAGGACTAGTAAGCTGCCGAATATAAAATATTTGTTTGGGGTTTTAGATAAGCTTTAAGTTGTATCATTGGGTGCAAATTATTTATGTTACTGAATAAACTTTTAGAGCAAGCATAAAATAATTGAACTTAAAAGGAAGCAAAGCACGCATCTGAAATGTAAAGAGTATAACAAAGGAGAATCAACTTTTCACCCACGTTGCTCTAGTATAAAAATCACTCTGAAGTGCAAATACAGATTAGGATTTACTGATGGACTTGAATATGCCATAAACATATGTCATACATACATGCAAGCTAGTTCGTGCATAAAGGTATTTTAATTTTCAAGTAGGTGAGTGAATATGGATTTATCTGTGCAAATTAGGATCTGCCAGCAAATAGCTGATTCATTCATCTCTTCTGATGACACCTGAGGAAAATTGAGAAAATACTTTTCACTTATTTGTTAGTGGTCGCATGCAGCATAATGTAAAAGTATATGTCACAACATTGTATATGTTGTGAAATAGGGTGACACAGACAGCTCAGATTTAATAAAATCAGGTTTGTGTGACAGTAACTACAGACTAAAGTTCAATGTTCACTCAAACTGTAGTACTAAAATAAAATTGTAGTCAAGACGCAATCACTGGAACTCACAGACACTCTTTAGAATTCTGTTGTGCCTCTGCATCACAAATATATAGATACCTGCTAAAAATTCATGTACCTGTTAGAAACAGGTACATGAATGTATCGCATGGAGGCATGGTGAGGGGGACAACACTCTTAACTAAGATCCCACTGCACCCATTACACAGACAGGCACAGCGTCTGGTGAGTTGAGCTGTTGGGTGGGCAGAGCCTGATGGGTGATGCCGAGAGAATAGTTCCTCATTAGGTCTTTCTCCCCTTAGATTGACAGCGAGCATCAGTGGGTGACTTCTATAGCTGTTATTGTGCTGTCTAGCAACTATTGAATCTGCTTACTGCTGTCCACTGTCAATCACAAAGAAGGCGAACCTGATGGGCAACTAGTCTCTCGGCATCACCAATCAAGCTCCACCTGGTGTCAATCTAAGTATGTTCAGCACGCCATTGGTTGCTAACAGCCAGTGACACACCCCTGTCCCCATTTATCTGCCAGCTGGGAGATTCCACGACCAACAGGTAATTGTAAATATAGAGGCAGAAATGCTGGCTGACATCATTGAACAAATATGGCAAGAATTTCCCCTTTGTTTACATTCAGCATGCTGGTCGGGGAATATCCTGGTTGACAGCTGAATGAGGCCAGGGATGCATCACTGGTTGCTAGAATGCCAGCAACCACCAGCATCCTAGCAATCAATAAACCCTGAGCACGGAGCAATATAAATGTTGCGCAAACATGCCCTGCTTTTTACTGTACAGAAATCCCACTGTGTAGCAAAGAACAGAGCATATTTACATGCCTGCCTCTGTACACCAAATTAGAGTAGGTCTTAAGTACTTTCAGTTTCGTTATCCAGGAACCGGCAGTAGTTATTGTTGAACTTGAGTCTGAGCCATAGTGACACATTGTGAAAGTGGTGCACATAGGAACTACCTGAATCTGTTGTCCATGAACTGCAAACTTTTAACGAAACTGTCGCAGGGCTTTCGTGAATGAGGTCCAGGGCTTTTAAAAGAAACCATACCACCAGAGAAGTGTTGCAAATGCTTTATTGAATTGCCCTCGACATTTTCAGTTATTTGTGATCACATGCTGCTTCTGTGTATTGTAGTAGTTCAACCCCACAGTGCTTTGGTTACAAACTTTCACGCACAGGCTAGAAACTAAATTGCTAATTTTTTCTCGATTAGTGTTATCCTTTATTGAGAGATTTCAGTTTTGCGTGATATGTCTGCTTTTAATATGTGCTCAGTACAGAGAAGTAATTAAAGAGCTGTTTAACGTAAGATGTTCTGACAACACACAGATGGGACAGTAGATTAGATTTTTATCACTTACTATAGGCACAGTTTATAGGCACTGTACAGGTTACATATAAGATGATGAAATGATGCTTGTTGCTGTTTCACATCTTACAATAGTATTTGTGGATTGCATTTAAATAACAAGTGTGGGCTACATGCATTTTACATAACCCAGATGCAACAATGATTTTTCACTCTCTCATTGTAATTGTTTACTCTACAATGATATGCAACGTAAGCAAGCTCTTAAATCTTTGTTTTGTTTAGTAATTTGCATATTTAGAAGTTAATTAATACAAGGCTTACTATGCATCTGCTTTTAATTCTCTCCATCTGCAATAGAGATATACTTTAGGCTGGTTTTGACGCACATGACACTTGTGAATATGTTGCCCAGATGTTTACAATATGCATTAACTTATTGCTTTCCTGTGCTTAACTTGTTGAAACAACATCAAAATGTCTCTTAAATTGGAATGTACAAAGCTATTGGAATATGCCACAAGAAAAGCATTTTTAAAACATTTAGTGTGATTTATTTAAAATTCTATATGTATCCATTACTGAGATTGTGACTATTTAAATAGATTACAAAGAAGATTTATGCATGTTTGTACTACTACGTAAGATCAGCAAGCTAATGTTGTCTGATACACATATGGGCTTTTGTTATTGAATTGTCCCATTTGTGTTAATGTGCTATAATTCATAACAACCTAACAGCACACTTTTTCTTTTTTGCTGAGACTTTTTCTGCAGCACTTTACTGATCACAATTCGTATAACTCCCTGTCCCACAATGGAGTTTGCAGTCTTTTGCATAATAACATATCTGATATATAATAATTACATAAAATCACAAGGTTGCATATCACCTTGAGCCCAGAGGGTGACACTACTTCTGTTAGGGCCCATTCACACCAATTGCGGTGCTTTCCAGAGCCGCAGCTGCTGGAACGCACAGCAATCGCTAACAAAACTTCCCTCTTCGTTCTGGGGTGGGAGGGGGCGTGGCTTCCACACCACCTCCCGCCCCAGAACGAAGAGGGAGTTTTATGAACAATTGCTCTGCGTTCCAGCAGCTGCCGCTATGGAACACACCGCAATTGGTGTGAATGGGTCCTTACAGTTAATAAATATAGTGGTCTCAAATCCTGCTGATTGGGCAATTATGGAGCAGCAAAACACTGATATTCATCAACTCTACACTCTCCTCCTGTCAGCAGCATATCTGTATGCAGCAGAGCCTAATTACCCCTAAAGCTTTTCCTTTCTCTCCCTGTCTGTGTGCTGCAGTGCAGGGAATACAATTATTATTATTATACAGGATTTATATAGGGCCAACTGCTTGTACAGCGCTTTACAAAATGGAGGGAGACAATACAGTTAACAATACAACTTCAATACACGAGGGGCTAGGAGGGCCCTGTTGTGAGAGCCTACAATCTAGTAGGAATTAGACTCATACTAAGACAGATTCATTTTTTTTCTCGGTCTATGTGCAGTTGTGGAGATTTCCCTTAACTTTCTGCCCAAGAGACATGGCAGGAAGGAAGTAAGTAAGAGGAAGGAGATCTGTCTAAAGTGAGACTTTTTTTATTTCTTTTTGTGTCCATTGTGAAAATTTCCCTTCACTTCTTGTTCCAGAGACACAGTAGGAAGTAAGAGGAAGGGGATCTGTCCACAGTGAGGAGATATCCACTCATAGACTTAGCATGTGAATAGGGGTCCCCATTGGAATAGATACCATCACTTCCTGTTCCTGTGACTCAAGTAGATTGAATCTTAAGTCACTTTTTGTATCTGAGACAATGATCATCAGGACCAATAGTGATGATGCATCTACCCAGAAGAGACACAGTCAGCAATAAAAACCAGGCAGCAGTTCTAACCCTTCCACATGCTACAACATATAATTAAAAAAAGTTTGGGCTTTACATACACCTTAAAGGACAACTATGGTTTAAGATAATGAGGCTGATATACTAAAGGAGTTGAGAATCTTCACACAATACACTGTGTAAACATTCACTTACATTTTCTCATTATGTAATAGGCAAATTCCTGTTTACTTATTTAATCTGCACATGAGTGGATAATGGAAGTTAATGTTCACACAATTTATTGTGTCAAGATCCTCAACTACTTAAGTAAATCAATTCACATATATTTTGATAAATGTATGTGGTTACTATGTGTAAAGATAGTATTTAGATAATTAATTTTATAATTCTTTACTTGAAAGCCACCTACTAAAAGTGACAGTAGCAGCAGTTGGGACACGTTATACAGTGGCAGTGGTTGGGGCACATTATACAGTGGCAGGGGCTGGGACACATTATACAGTGGTAGAGTTTATTTATTTAATAAAATACATTAAATATTTATTAGTAACAATGTATTTATTTAAACTGTGTGAATTAAAGTTGACTGTTTAAACAGTCCTGGCAGTGTTACAGTTCTTTGTAGCAACCCCCGTCACTGCTACTTAGCTGCACAGCTTGGTATGCATAGAAATATTAAGAAGAATTTTAAAAAACATGAAAAAATACATTGGTTTACTAAATTAAAACTACTTTTGGATTAACTAGGGCTTCATAACTGTCTGGGTCCCCACTAGGGAAATTCACACTTTCTATTTGCCCTGGTAATTACTTTCTCTAGGACACTAGGAGATTGATAGAAAATACAAACATACAGTATGTAGTTGCCACCAAGACATACTTTCTGGTTGCCACCAGACAGTAAACTACTGCTGTCCTGTAGATATTCACAACAGTTATTCAGCACAACATTGTGTCCATCATAAGAACAGTTCAACCATTATGTTCTGTTTCCTTGATACCTATTCTTCAGCCACAACACTGCGTTTGCTTTACAACACTTTAGCCCCTTTCGCACATCCCCCTAAAGCCTTACTTAAAATCTTGTAATAACATGCACACACCTTTGAGGTAACAATCTGAAACTCTAGGTTAAACAGCTAAATACAGTGTTCTTGTTTTCTAGTACATTTGCCAAATAATGTACAGTTACGATATACCCACATCTGGTACATTGCACATTAATGCAAGAAACACACAACACTTTCCACGGTAATCTACCCACTTTCTTTGTAAATTTGCTGTAAATGTTCAAAATGACTGATTGGTGCTGGCAACATACAATATATCTTTAATCAGTCCTTGCATAAGTTCTTTATTAGTTAATTTCTCACTCAACCTTTTAGCTGCTTGTCTTATGTAACAGCTGATCCACTTTAGGCTGACGTGTCTTTCACTATTGTTTTATGATGGGCTTCTGTAGTAAATGGGGGTGGATGGCTATTATAATCACAACATACAACATTGTGATACAACATTGCCAGCCTCTTTAAACTCTGATTGTCCAATGCACCATCCAAGAAAAATAAAAATTGTTTTTATTTGTAGAATGGTGTTTTGTTTGACATATCTTTATAGATATTTCCAAGGATAAGGTTATGTCAACTATAATATTTCAAGGTAACAGTCATTATCCTTTGATATACATAATTAATTGCTATTGGGCACATCTTTTAATATCCATGCATTCTCATGGTATATAATAAGTATACCATTGCATAGGGTCATTTCAGCCAAGAGCTTATGGCTAATGATAATTGTTTTCTTCTGTAGCCTTTATATCTGTATCTGTCTACTGCTTTGTAAGATCTGCTTGCTTCATGCCCAACAGCTGTGTAAAGATGAGGTTGCTGAAGTGATGTGGGTAGTTTCCTTTCTGGTATGTGTATCTTTTCCTTTTGTTTGTCATATATAACAAGGATTCTTTTTCCATACTTTACATCATTCTGTATCCCATGAGATATAAATGAAAGGTTGTTTTTTGATGCTAATACAAAGTTTTTATTCCTTTTCTTAAGTTAGACAACATTTTAGAAACCAAGCTAAGCTAATCACCTCTTCTTTATATCAAACAACAGTTCATGAAAGTCAGATAACACTGCATTGTCTTTATTTCAAACATTTTAGTGTGATGAATATATGTGCAGGGTATATTGCTGTTTTAATACATAAATAATACAGGGCAATATAACATTTAAGGTAATAACTTATATTAATGCTATTTTGACTTGTAATCACCCAGTAATGAGTACAAACCATTTACATCTTCAGCATCAATCATTTTCATCTCATTTTAGCTTAGGTTTTGGTAAGGTAGACCAAAAGGAACCAAAAATGCTTCCACTAGAGTGTACTTCACTCTAGACAACGTCTAATTGCTTTACCAAGGGTTCACAATTACAAACATTAAAGCACACCTGAAGTAGAAAAACTGATGATGGCACTTTATAACAGGCACCTCGTGCTTCCTTTACAATAGGTCAGATTTCCTGTTTAGTGTATGCTTTGATTCTGGTGATGATTAAGTATGCAAAAAATCAACTCAGCCTTTTGGGCCAGTATACTGGCCCTCAGGCTGGATATTGGTCAGTGAGGCAGCCCAATGATGGGCCAATAGTAATTTATAGGAGGTAAGAGGAGGTGGGCCCTGTCTATTAACTCATGAAGCATGGGCAATGAAAGCATACCAGAACACCCCCTGGGTTTGGGGCACCAGGGGCACTGCATTGGAGAACCAGCCTAACAAACTGGCATATGGAGGCAGCAGGTTACCTTTTCCCCGCACTTCAGATTTGAAGCATAACTCCATGTAAAGAATTGTGTAGAATGAACCCTGAATAAGTTTCATAGAGATAACATTTCTAGTGTGGTATAGTATCCCATCTGTATTCCTTAGCACAGAGGTTCTGAACAACTCATAATTCACATCTGTATTCCTTAGCACAGAGGTTCTGAACAGCTCATAATTCACATTCAAGTGCATGAGATGTTGGTGCTTAATAATTAATATGAAAAGTAACCCCAAGCTCTTGTTAACAACAAAAAATAATGAAATATGTTAACCTTTGCTTGAGTTCTTGTTCAGTGAAACTGTACAGTATAATTTAGCAGATTTTGAGATAAATAGGTAATATGGAGATGCTCCTGGGAGCTGCATTGCAGGTAGCACAAACCCATATTTGGCTCCCAAGCCACTGGTTGGCAACCACTGTCTTAAAGAATTCCACGTCTGTAAATTATAGCTCCCTTCAGATTTATGGCCCAGATCGTGTTTGCCAATGTTGCCCTGATGCTATAGCAAGGGTTGTAGCTGGATGACCTGCTAGAGATGTCTTTCTTTAGACAACACCAATTCCTGAATTCATTTAGCTGTGGAACATATATTAGATTAACACGTGATGCGTACATAGTACGCGAGTGCTAAGTTTAACAGTTTATCTTACCACAAAGATAATGTTTTCAGTGATGACAAAATATGCAGAGACAATTGTGCAGTGGACATGCTTTGGTTGCTCCATTGAGTAACTTATGCCTGTCCAGTAGTTAGCAATCTTGTCTATTATTTTTATAGTTATAAAACAATCAATGTCACCAGTGTTCACGTGGATAAACATTTTGTAGACTATGTTACCATTTTCAGTAAATGTAAACACCACTCTTCATCCAATAATGCATGTTAGTTTATGCCCTAAAGTGAAGGCAATTGATTTTTAATGAGTGACTAATAACCTTTTTGTATCTGATAAAAAAATATATATAAATGATCTAGATTAGAAATGTATGAATTGTAGTACTTTATGGTAGTTCTGAATTTTTACCTTACTCCATTACACTGTTATTAATTAAAGTTCATTGAGATTTCACGGCAATTATCACTATTAGCCTGATTAATTTCTGTGAATCTTTTCTTTGTACTCTGCTTGCAGACTCATTCTGAGGAGAGACCGTTCCAATGTGAGGAATGCAAGGCTTTGTTCCGCACTCCTTTCTCACTGCAAAGGCACCTGCTAATACACAACAGTAAGTGCAAATATGAGGCCAAAAGGACACCACCAATTTACATATGTATATCCCCCTTTCTAACCTAAGAGGAACGCCTTTCCTCAATTACACAATATTTCAGTGTACAACAAAAAGATTAATTACAGGGGATAATGCAAATTAACAACGTGGCTTTAAGCAAGAGTTTTAACTAAGACATTGTTAAACGGTGCTTGAGATCTGAACCTCTTCCGCCCTTTTGCACTTAGTGCTGCCTTAGCTTTTTGTTTGGCCATACACATACAATATCATAAAATGTCCTGCTTTATTCACTGGGTTTTGGGACAATTATCCAAGCTGTGTCACCTCAACAATGGAGTAAATAAATTGAAAAGGAAACCTGAAAACGATCTGCGTAGTGAAGTACAGACGTTTTTTTTTTTCTGCTCTCCCAACACTTGTGAGGTCAGACCTCTGCCTTGAGTATTCATTGTTTTATTCACAAAATATGTTTTTTGGGACACTTGGATAAACCTGATGCAAAAAATATAAATTGTATCGTGTATTTAGATAATGCTGCTTGCTTGCTTGCTGGCTGATTATAGTAGTATTAACTAAAACAATTCACTCTCTCTTTATTTTAAAGATTAGACAATTATATGTATAGTGACATTTGTTTTTCCATTGTCGTATACTTTTTTACAACCCCACACCAATCTACCATTTCAGTTCATTAGTAAGAGTAAAATATGCCCTCGCACAAGACTTACTTATCACTCTTTTTTTAACATATAGTTTTTATTAAATTATAGTCATACAATGAAGTTTTGTACATCTTGGAACTCAACATCTGGTGTCATTACATTAAATTCAATTCTTAGCACTTGACAAGTTTACATAGGGATGTAAGCGAATAAGGTAGTGCTGGGGGGCAGTAATTATCCAAGCATTGCAATGTATTGAATTGTTACAGACGGTATAGAAAATAATCATGTACAAGTTAATGATCTTTGTATCTTTCGCACTTAGTGTCATACTACTGTTTTGACCAATAAAACCTTATAATCTCAATGAGCTTTTAAAAGATTCCAATTGTAATCTCCGGATGGGGCGGCCCATACGAAGAGTACAGGGCTCTCAGTCAAAAGGGTTGTTGGTGCTTCAGTGTTTATGGGGTGTGCAGGCGAACCGCCTGGGATTTACAGAAAGGCTATATAGCTATCAGGTGTCTAAGTGCTATAAACAGTGGCACCATTCAAGACTAGTAGAGACACAATGGACAAGACTATCGGGGGGAAGGAAGGGACTGACATAGGGATGGAAAAGAAGGGACTGACAATAGAAAGAAAAAGAAAAGAAAAAGAAGACTAGATGAGTCTAGTGGGAAGGGGATGAGAAGGAGAGCGGCATTCGGGCTGCACGTTAGCATAGAGGATTGACAAACATAGGCAGGCTAGGAAAGGTTAATTATGTCATACAGAGTCGGCGCTCATCGGCTGAGGCGAAGTATTTATTGATCCAAGGAGACCAGGTCTTTTCAAATTTAGCCATATGATCATTGAGTTGTGCTGTTCTTTTCTCTTGTATCATAATCCAGTTGCCATGGGTGATCATACTAGGGATACTAAGGGTTTTTGTCAACCAGTTTTTAGCTATTTCTCTCTTCGCTGACGTACAGACATGCATTGAGAGATGGAAGTGTTTGCGAGGGAGGTCTTCCGGTTTGCAGTTAAGTAATGCTAAAAAGGGGTCCTTAGATAGTGATTTCGCAAACAGTGACGTGAGGAGGTTAAAGACTTCGTCCCAAAAGGCAGAGACACATGGGCAGCCCCACCGTATGTGGAAAAAGGTACCTTGTTCCGGGCAGCCTCGAAAGCAGTTAGGAGAGCAATTAGAATTATAAATAGCCACTCTGGCCGCCACCAGATACCAGCGTAAGAGGACTTTATAGTTTATTTCCAACATGCTTGCACAGCGCAAGCTTGATTTAGTGTTTGCCCAAACTTGTTCCCATATATCATCATCCACGGGGAAGTCTAGTTCCCGTTCCTATTGATGTACATAGGAAGGGGGAGGTGTATCTGTAGGGGTGATCAGGGCTGAGTAGAGGAGGGAGATTAGACCTGAGGTGTGTGGATTGTCTCGACAGACTTTTTCAAATGGAGACAGCAGTGTGGGGCCGGATTGTTTTGGGGTGTGAGACCTGTAGATATCTAAAGGTTTTCCTACCAGGGAGTTGGTTGTGTTCCTGCAGGTATGTGAAGGGTTTAATGTCTGTGGTAGTCCTTAGTTGCCAGAAGTAGGTAAGGTTTCATTCAGACCATACCGAGAACCGTGATGGTTGTTGCTGGGCTGGGGTGAATATTGGGTTTTCTAGAATGGACATGAGAGGCAAGGTAAAGGAGAGGAATCCAGATGAGAATTTGACGGAGTCCCATAAGCGGAGGGAATGGGACATGATCGGGTTTGTTATGGGTGGTCTTTGTTTCGGAGCAAGCCAGAGTAGGTTAGAGGCTGATGTGGGGTGTACTAGGGCGGACTCCAGGGCTACCCACCCTGGGGGTTCAGAGGTTGAGTGATATTTTGCAAGTTGACTAATTTGTGCTGCTAGGTAATATTTAGCTAGGTATGGGACCGCCAACCCCCCTTGGCACTTCGGGAAATAGAGTGTACATCTAGGGACTCCAGGTCTTTTGTCCCCCCATATAAAGGTAAATATTTGTGCTTGCAGTTTTTTAAGGATAGGGCTAGGAACAGCGACAGGCAAGACTCTAAAGAGATAGAGAATCTTTGGCAATAGGGTCATTTTTATCGCAGCAATGCTGCTGAGAGTTGATAGTGAGACCATGTCCGTAACATCTGTGATAATTTGGTCATCATCTCTGGATAGTTTGCATTATATAAAGAATGATAGGAATGTGTCAGCTTGATACCTAGATAGGGAATGCGGTCCTTACACCAGGAATAGGGGTAGTTGCTTTTCAGAGATGCAATGAGCGGTGCAGGCAGGGAGATATTTAAAGCCATGGATTTTGAGTCATTTATACAAAGTCCTGAGACAGTTGCAAATTCAGACAGTATTGTTGCGAGGTTGGGCAAAGTACTTATTACTCTTTTTAAGATATGCAACCATTGATGTAAAATACATAAATACATAAAACACAGTCTAATAAAGATTGACACCGTGTCTTGAACTGTAAAAAGTTATCTTGAATCCCCTACTCATTTTTTGAGCATGCCCATGGTTGTAATTTATTTTATCATATAAACAGAGTACCTAAACTAAGTTTGATTGCTCACATTTACATTTCTTCTACATGCACACACAATGTTAACTGAGTTAACAAAGTCATAGCTTTGAATAAAGCTCCCTGGTTATTATTATTATTATTATACAGGATTTATATAGCACCAACAGTTTGTGCAGCGCTTTGGTTGGAAACCTTTTTTGAAATGCTCTTTCAGGGTTATGCAGCCATTTTTAAATTCAGAGCCTATAAATTAAATATATATGAGCCTTCAAACAAATGAGGCATAGAAAATATATACACACAGACAAAAAAGCAATATAGACAAAAAGAGTCCCAGGAAAAAACAAAAGCAAATAATGGTGTGCAAGAAAATTCCTCAGATGATTCGCAGCCAATCTGCATGTAACTCTCAGGTAAGGATAATCACACAATGCAGGCAGACCTTCACCTCCACCCAGTGAGTGATGACAACAAGTGAGTGCTCACCTGGGGAGGTAGACCCACAGAGCTAGGTCAAATGTGCGTTTTCCCTTCTTAATGGGGGAGGGAAGCCCATGCACAGAAATGTGAAAAATTTATTAGATGTGTATGATTATTAGCTTGGCACAATATTGTTTTTCACATTTTCCAGATATTTAGTTATATCCTTAGTGCTTGGTAGCTCCTATTTTCACATTACACTTACTGGCGCTGATCACCTTATTGTTTATAAATTAAATTTAGTTTAATTGCATTTGCACATACTGAGAAAAAATGTATGTGACCTTTAGAACAATACTGTCACTTGATACAGCTTTGAGTTTGAATGGGCTCTCTATTACAGCCTAGGTGCTGTTGCATTTTAAGTATATTCCAACACACAATGGTAGGGATAAGAGGAAACCTGTACTTAAATTATAAGACTAAAGACCAATTACTGAGGGGGTTATCCACTTAGCTGCCGAAGGCAGCCGAGTGAATAAATGAGCCGAAGGGAAGTGAGCCGAACGCTGTTCTTCACTTCAGACTTGTACAGCTGATTTCAGCCATACATTGGCTAAAATCAGCCATACATTGGCTAAAATCAGCCATAAATCGGCTGCCTTCGGTCAGCTGAACATGCTCTGCACTGTTTTTAGTCCTAAGTGCACTGTGTTCCTATGTCCAGAGTCCAGTGCGTTACTGAGTCCAGAGTCCAGTGCGTTACTGAGTCCAGTGCGTTACTAGAGTAATGGCGGCCATCTACACCGACCAGCGACCCCTGAACTCTGTTACTTACTCCTGATCCCTGTGCTGCCCTAGCAACAATGTATACTGCTCTGCCAGGCTGATGCCAGCCCAGCTAGCCAGCCAAGTTGAACCCAGTCACTTCTGTATGATAAGCTTAGCAGCCTCCTCTTTCCGATGCTGGCAGAAGTGATACAGCGTGTGCCTGTTACTATTTAAACAGACACTTGCTGTGTCCAGCTGCTAAAAGGTCATGGAAAATGTTTTAAACAGGAAGGGGTGGGGCAAATTTAGATTGGGGGGGTTGCCCGAGTTTAGTCTTGCCTAGGGCAGCACAAAACCTAAATACACCACTGGTTGTAAGGGAGGAAACTGAGTGATAGGTTCCTTCTGCCGTCATTTCAACTGTGACTGTGGGACTAGGGGTGGAGGAGGGGGGCAAGCATGGCTTGCTACACGCTGTGGGTGCCTATGGACACACACAGCTAGGTGCGGACATAGCCGTGAGCCCGCATGCACGGGTGTCTCCTCAGTAGCCAGCTAGCTGATGGAGACATCCACACACGGTGGGTGGGTGGGTGGGTGGGTGGGGGGAGCTAGTGTTAAGGGACAACTAGAGAACGGGGGAAAAAAAGATAATTGTACGGATACGGATTAAGTGACCAGTCTGTCCGGTCAGCGATTCGGACCTCTGCTCAATTAATATTTTACTCACCGGACCTCCTTGAATTCTACTTCACTACCCCTGGTTTGGAGGACATGGTTTCCTGCTATAAAAGCTTGCATAAATGCATTTTTCAAAGAATATACCATTATGTATATATACATTTCTATTTAATTTCTATGCTTTGTTTGATATGTAAAAAACTCTTGAAGTGGTCATCTATTGTTGTTGTTGTTGTCTATCTGCATATCAGCTTAGTTAAATGTATATGAAGGAGAAATAGCATCATGTATCACAGAGTAGTAGCATATTTCGTTAGTATTCCAACTTGCATTTGAAGTAATTGTAAGTATAAAACGATAGATAGATAGATAGATAGATAAATAGATAGATAGATAGATAGATAGATAGATAGATAGATAGATAGATAGATCTAATGCCAGTGGTTTATTTTTTAAGAATTATGAAGTAGTCAATCAAATGTGTAAAATATTAGTGTTTTAATAGAACCTTCTTAAAAACACAGGAAGACATCTTATTTCCTGGTGAGATCAATAAGAAGTCTTGATGAATAGACCAATAAACATCCTATATAGTCTAGGCAAACCACATATTTATTATGTTGGCTCCACAGATGATGAAGAAGAGGAGATGTCTTCCATCTCCAGCACAAAACAAATCCTCTATAGGACACATCACAAGCAAAATGCGGACATGTTTTTCTAATTGGACATTATCACCCATCTGGCTTCTATTAAATGACATGTGGTTACTGGCCCCATCCTCTTTTGGTCCATACATTTTGAATAAAATATTGATCAATAAAAATTATTGTAAATTTTTTTTTAAGTTTGTATATTAAATCAAATGATTACCTTGTAGAGCTCCAACATATTTGTTTAGAAAGAGATATTGTTATTTTGCATGAATTTTAAAATGGTTTGGGTTCTATAAAGTAACTGATCTCTACGGGAGATTATAGCTGTCCCACATGATACAATCTTGTGGATACAGAATCCAAAGTTGTTACCTATGGCAGATATAGAAAAACGCAAATTAATGCGGTTCTATATCCATTCATACGTCATTATTACATCATCAGTGTATTTTTAAATGCAAACAGTGTAAGTATCTGAATCTGACCTGGTATCAGCCTTATGCAGTCCCTGTATACCAGGTTGGGTTGCGAGAGGAAGAAGCAGCACCAGGAGCCAATCAGTGTATGTGCTGAAAAGGAGCTTAATAATAGGAAGAGAAAGCAGAGTGACAGAGAGATGAGCTAATCTACATAGAAACTTAAAGGCATATTTAGTAAACATTTACAGCACATTTGCTGCAGAATGTATTATAGCACATGCACTTTGGTGAACAATTGCTTGTTGCATTCACTTAAAAATTCAGTACCCCAAAAAGTCCATAGACGACACTTTAAAAGCCCCTGCAGGTAATTAGTTTTGAGATATGCATAAATATTGGCCCTAGAATTATTCCTCTAACTCTGGCGTGCGTAGCGATACCCAACATGTGTAGCGTGATCATCGTTTTCGTACGTTATGATGTGCAAGCTCGCGGGGGCAGGGGACTTAAAAACACTTTAAAAAATTATTTTTACATTTATTTTATTTGATATTATTTTTAAAAACAGTTTTTTTCTTCTTTAATTGCTATCACATAGGGGGGCTTACAAGCCCCCCATGTGATAGCATATTGGTAGTGACAGGTACTTTTTAAGGTGATACTAGGAGTCCAAAAGACCCCTAGTGTCACCTTTACACTTTAAAATAAACTATTGAAGTGCAAATCACACTTCAATAGCTTATTGCTGTGCTTCAGGAGCCCATCATTGACAGCTATGGGCCCGGAAGTAATGTAATCTGCATCGCTCCCTTTACCATAGAACGGGGAGGAGATTGGGGAACGGACGTTCACAACTCTCCTCCCCAGTTTCTCGCCGACACCCGAGAATGCCGGTCCTGGGCTAGCAGGAGGGGCAGCGGAGCCTGGGAAACACAGCGGGGGTGGCGGGCGGGGGTGCCAGAATCACTTCTATTGTAAAGCCAACAGTTGGCTTTACACGTGTAAACAGAGTCTGTTTAAACGGGCCGGCTGCCAGTGACGTACTATGTACGTCACTGGTCGCGAAGGGGTTAAAAATGTAAAGGCCTGGTATCTGCCTGTAGTATCGGGGCATTTTCACGAGATACAGATACTAATGTCGGTATTGGGACATCCCTACAAAAATGTTAAACTGTCCATAGTACTATGGAACGTAAAAGTATATACTGCGAATTACAATTAATTTTCAGAAGATATCTAATTATAATAAATGGTAAATTAACGCAAGGTATTGTCAGTTTTCATACAAATGAATCAGATGCAAAAGTACAGACATCCAATTCAGTTGTTCATTTTACTGCTTTCCTTTTCAAAATACTGTAGTTCATTAGGTCCACAGTGGCATATCAGATAGAAATAAGTAACAGCATTGCATTGCATTGCTATCTCATTAGGCACCGAACATGTATGTACTCCCTAAACTAAGAAAGATCTGAGCAGTTCTGACTGCTTATTCCATGTCAGTATCTCATTAGGTGGTAGTCAGAATCAGCATGACAGCCTCAGTGCCTGCACCTTTAAAAACAAATTTAGCAGTACCAGCTTATGTATTGTTACCCTCACTGTTTCCTGTTAGTAATTTCTTTCTATTAAACATTTTATGCATTACTTAGTGTTCATTTTTTCTTTAGAGTTATTTCTCACATTTATTCTTTAGTATTGTGGCAAAATGTTTGTGTTTGCTTGTTTTGTTTTACAAACACTTTATTTTTTTTATTTATTTACTTTATTTTTATTTTATTCATTCCAAGGTGAACGCACGTTTAAGTGTGACCACTGTGATGCTACATTTAAAAGGAAAGACACATTAAATGTTCACATACAAGTTGTGCATGATGGCCACAAGAAGTACAAATGTGATCTCTGTGACAAAGCCTTTGTGACTCCTTCAGTCCTGAAGAGCCATAAAAAAGTAAGCGCCCTCATTCTTCTTACTTACAAATGTGTTTAATTTGTCCTTTACCTTGGTGTTTGTTGGGATCTCCGGGAAGGGGATAGGTGAGATGTAACTCTGAAATCCCAAATTGATTATCATGATACTACTGTATCAGATTAAAATGTGGATTGATTAAAGGGTGTTTTCTTGTTCTAACATTTATCTACTTTATCTCTACTCAAGATAAATGTAATGTTTATATCAGTAATGTGAGATAATGAAAAATATTAGAGGTGCACCGAAATGAAAATTTAAAAACCGTAATGAAAAAAAATGTCGGGCCGAAACCGAAATTAAAAAGTTTTTTTTTCTAACTTTTTCAAATATTTTATTTTTATTCATTTTTTATAAACTTTAAAAAAAATGTTTACATTTTATTTTTATTTATTTATTTTTATTAAATATTTTTATTTTTTACTTTACTTTTAGGGGCTTCGGGGAAATATTAGGGGTCTAAACAGACTACTGATATTTCCCTTTTAAAATAGAAAAAGAGATTGGGGACACAGAGTCCTCAATCTCTTTTTCTGCATCCCGTTATAAATGAACAGGAATCCTCTATACTGAGTGTTCCTGTTCATTGATAACATGTGGATATTGTGTGTTTACTATAACCACAATCATGAATGAACAGGAGGTGATGTAGATCACTCCCATTCATTCATAATTGAGGATATAGTAAACATATTATGTCCTCAATTATTTACAAACACTCAGCGATCACTGATTGCTGAGTGTTTGTACTCGCTCTCCTTCCTGACAGCTGTCACAGGAGGCTGGGTGAGCGGTGCGGGGTGGAAAGCTCTATCTCCTCTGACAGGTCACTCCTCCCCTGCACCGCCAGCCGGCCATCTGTGACAGCGCTGGCTGTCTTTGCCCCACACAGCCACTCTCCTCTGATCTGTGACAGGAGGCTAAGCGGTGCGGGGAGAGCTCCTCACAGCGCTCTCCTCCCGCAGTGCTTGGCCGCCTGTGACAGTTTCTCTCCTCCCCGCTGGGACACAGAGCAGCGGGGAGGAGAGAAATCACAGATGCACCGCTGTATTGGCAGAAAAATTGTACTTTTGGACGATATGTGTCGGCGGCCGATATATCGGTGCATCCCTAAAAAATATGTAGCTGTACTTAGAAACATATTTCCTTTACATTAACTAAAGAATCAGATTTGTACCATGTACAATATGCCTCATTCTGGCATTCCTGGCATTCCTGTGGCAGGAGCCTATGGATTCCTGAGACAGGAATGCCAGGTGTCCCCTGTTTAGCTACGGCTGCTGTACCCGTTCAAGCTAATGACCGGGTGACAGCGGCTGCATTTGGAATTGATTACTGTCCCTGTATGCATCTATCCAGTGTCCAGCTACAGTGATGTATTCCGAACCCCATGTAATCATATCACATGTGACGGCTGTTGTCACCCGGCCTTTAAATTGAATAGGCACAGCGGCTGCATTTAAATGGGGAAACCTGCGATTCCTCCAGCCGCATCGATGCCAGAACGGCCAGTGTGAATGAGGCCTTAGTAGTTGTATTTTAAAAGGAAAAGGAAAACATTTAACAATAAAGAAGCAAAGAATATTTCAGTCATGCAAAGGAGATGAAACCACTTTTTTCATTTTTAAATATTTTTTTTCCAGGTGCTATTGCAGTGTTAATCTGATAAGACAAAATGTACCCAGATTAAGCTATGCCACTGTCTATTTTGTTTGAGGTGCTCAGGGTATTAGTGGGGTTGACTTACTAAAAGCAGTTAGGCTGCTCACTTTGCAAGGGAATTTTCCCTTTGCTTGGTGAATGTGGCAAAAAATCACTTTGCAAAGAATACCCAATCACATGCAAGGAACATAAAAAATAAACAGGATTTTTGCTTGCACATGATTAAATGATGGAAGTCAGCAGAGCTTCCACTAATTCAATAAGCCAAACGGAAAAATCCCTTGCAAAATGAACATCTTATTTAGTAAATCATCCCAAATTACCCTAGATGATGGGAAACAGTTTACTATTCACTCTCTCTCTCATTTTAAATTGAGCTTTTTTTAAGCAGAATAGGGTTGTTTTTTCATCATTGTCTGTGTTACTACTGTGAACAGCTCAGAGTGGGAACACGGTCAGCAGTTCAAGCCTTAAAGTGATCCTGTGCCCAGTCTTTTCATATTAAAATATTTACATATTCTGCCAGTTGTGAGGCTTGGTAATATTTATTATTATCTTGTTATTTTTCACTGGAGTTCTGCTTTAATCTGACCGTCTACCACCTTCTTCATAACAGAACAGAATATTTCTACTATTTCCTCTTCCTCACTTGTTCCAGAGATAATCACATCTGTATACCATTGTTCCCATTCTGTATCATCCAGTATAAGCAGTATCTACAGTAGTGTAAGCTGAATATTTATTTTAGCGGAATTAAACTAAACACTGATTATGAATAAATAATGTTTATATCAGGAGTATTTTTTCTGCTTTGTTGTAATAAGTGTTATAAGTGATTACTGTTTTTCCCACATATTTGAAAGCGTTTTTTTTTTTTTTTTTGCAGACACACACAGGGGAAAAAAAAAAGATTTGCCCTTACTGTGGTCAGAAGTTTGCTAGCAATGGCACACTCAGAGTCCATATAAGAAGCCATACAGGTATGAATACGTGTAGTGCACCCCCTGAGGAGCCACTTATAACAGTATACTGGCTCTCCCTGTCTTTCCTCGGTGATGGACCTCAGTCAATGAATACACAGCATACCAGCACACTTGCAAATGAGAATACCTCAGTCCCAGGGTCGGTTACTGTGGGTTATCACAGCATAATAATCACCATATCTAGGGGTATTCAGATACACTTTACCCATTAGCACTTACCACCCTATATGATGACCGATAAAAATGATGTCCAAACTGTAGATATGATGCTTAGGAACTTTAGTGATGAACTTCAGGGATAGAGGTTGAGAGTCAGGATCCTCCTGGCTGGTGTAGACTCTTTTAAGTGGTAGTGTGCAGTAGCTGTCTCCATTCACAGCATGAAGAACACCTGTTATAGCAGTACTTACGTTAGAAGATACCAGTCATCTTCATCCTTGTCATCAGTAGTAACCACTGGGCCCCAGACTCAGGCCTCAGTGTAAGCCCATGGCTAGTTCCCAGGCTTCAGGCCTAGCCATCTAAGACAGTCCATAACAGCCTCCCCCCAGGCAGGGAAAAGGGGAGGGAGAGAGAGCTCACATGGTCCACCCCAAGTATTTATCTCCTCTCCCAGCATGCACCACTGACCATTAACCTCCTAGTGATTGGCTAGGGAGACATACCTACTCATAGCAATCCCTCATTGGTTGCTGTGCTCTGTGGACGGGGTACATCCAGCAGCAGACAGATGCAAACAATGACAGACTGATTAGGGGAAACCAGATGAGCATAGATTACAAATCAGCATCAGACTGCTTACAATCTGACAATATTTAAATTTAATAGCACCCCTGCCTACAGGGTGCCACATGGATTTTTCTCAATAATATGTATTGCAAATGCTCCTGGAATGATAGCTATATTGCAGAATACATTTCCAGCGTATACAGATTTCAGCAGATTCTTTATACATGCACATCACAGGGATGTGCCGAGATCTCCAGATATGTATATAAATAGACGACACCAGCGGACCCCACATAAAGATGTTTACTCAAACGTATAAGATCCCACAATGTTTTTAATTTCACATTCTTTCACCGAGGATCCATCCTGGCTACAGCTCAGGTCTGCACTCTCTGCACGTAGCAGGCAATAGCTTGCTATATGCTGAGTTTTGTGTCAACGGAGAACATTAGTATATGTTCTCCCGTGACCCTAAGGAGAGGTATGGCAAAAAGGTTTCCCCATAGTTCTCATTTAAGAACAATGTTCTTAACAATCTCTTACTATGTTTGTATTTTATGAAACTTTTTAATGAAATGAAATTATGTTTTATATTTGTATATGTGCATTCTGATGTACCTTAAAAGTCCGTGATTAACAAATGAAAGTGATTTCTTGAATAATCTTCCGGTTATACTAAATCGGTGCATACGTTTTTCTTTCAGCTGGTGTGCGTTTATGAAGACCCGCGCAGCCACAGGAGCTCTGTCCCCACAGCTCCGTCCCTGCAGTTCTGTTCCCACCTTTGTCCCCTGTCCTTGCCTTCCCTCCATGCTGATGTCTTCATCTCTTCTCCCTGGCTCATTAGTAATAACACAAAGGAGATCTGCAGCAGTGCTTCAGCAACCAATCTAACACTGTAAACTTACTGAAGAACTGATGCAGATCTCCTTTGTGGTATCCCCCTGATGAACTAGGTAGAAGAAAGGATGGAGACAGCAGCGTGGAGGGGAGTTGGGAACAGAGCTGCGGGAATGGAGTTGTGGGGATGGTGCTGCAGGAATAGAGCTGCTGCATCTGTGCGTGTATTAATGAATGAATGCACATCAGCTCCTACAAAGCACTTTCTCTTATTGGGAGGAGAGTGGGGAGAAACCCAATAAAATTGTTGGAATCTCTTCTCAGCGCCAAGCTTAGCCCCACTCACAGTATATTATATTGAATTGGAAGCTTATGGCGATTGTTTAATTACAGGAGTACATTGCAAAATGTACTACTGTATCATTTGGAAACTAAAAATACCAAAAAAAGGTGTACCCTATACTTCTTCTTTAATTATTATATCATATTGTACATTTTCTTTCGAGCTGTCCTTCATGTGAAATATTGTTGGAAAGAAGGAGGCTGCCTGCTGGTGGTGCCTATAGTGGGAAAAAGCTTGTATTGCCTTAATTTTAATAAGGTCCATCCAAGAAGATAAGTGGTCTTTCATTGGAGGGTGAAGTTAACATACACACTAAGGTGGACCAGCACAAAGAGCACTGCAAAACTATTGATTTATTTTGGATTACTTTTTGTACTGCTTGATAAACCGTGACTCATTACAAGGGCAAAATATTTGGATTTATATGCAATGGCCTTATATTGATGTTTACAGTGACTGAGATTAATTATTAATTTATTGTATAATATATTTGTATATATTTTATATGTATTTATTTATATTTTGGTTGAAAAAGTTGTTTTTACATGGGGGTGTTATAGAGCTCTGCACTTACAATTGGATGGTTAAGTTCATTAGTAGATAATATGAGAGTGTTGGCTGCTTATCATATTCAATTAAGGGGAGGTAAGCACAGGTTTTATATTTATAACAGTGTTTGATTTATTGATTATTTAAGTCATTAAATGTTTGTTATTTTTAAACTCATGATGATCATTTCTGATTTGTTTCACAATTACTTCAATTTAATGTGCTTCTTTTGTGGTGTGTTTGCATATGGTATGTGTTTCCAACATGCCCTTCTTTTTTACCTCTTTATTTGTTTTTGAGACTGTTCTTGCAGCAATTTGTTGCAGTCTCTTCTTATTGTATAGTTTTTCTATCTGATCATATGACTATTGCCAATGAGCTAAATTGCCGTTTTTTTTTAATGAGTATGTGGGCAATGCAGTGTGTCTGCTCATGGTCAGTCTCAGATTCTATTAGGTACTCTTTCATCTCTTGTATCTGGATATGTGCTATCAGCACTCTTTATGGTTTACATTGCTGCTTGTTCAGGTTGTGTCTCTGTTTCATGAAAGATCTAGCACTCCTTCAGTGATCCAAACACTTAGAGAGCTATTTATTTCACCATTCTATCCACTTTAAAGTGTTCTCTGACCTTTCTGTGTAATAATTTTGCAACCCTTGACATCTAGCTTCCTCATAACACAGCAGCCGGGGGTCCTCAACCATGCATTGAGAACAATTACAATTGCACCGTACTCCTCAGTTTATTTAAAAAAAAAATGTAAACCTATTTGAAATGTACAAACTTGTACACCCTAAAAGTATTTACCCTTAATGAATACTACAGGCCATGCAATATACTTGATCATACAAACATTTGACTTATAAATGTTTTAATTGAGTTCCTAGGTAAGAATGGTATTATTGCTTATCTAAATTCTTTTTTGTTTTGTTTTGGATAGAGTAGGTGAAGGGTTGGAACACCTGTCAGTTTTTGATAGATTTGGGAAGTAGAAGAAAGGTTTGGGAATAGGGCTCCAGCTAACGATTATTTTCATAATCGATTAGTTAGCCGATTATTAACTTCGATGTATTCGATTAATCGGATACAATTAAAAAAAAATTATGTCATTTATTTAAAATAAAACACAGAAATACAGCATTGCAGACATATACGTAGTTTACGTCAGAATAACGGAATGCACATTTTTAAAAATCATACTGCACTGGAACGCACAGCATTACAGTACCGCGCGTTCTAGTGCAGGCGATCACACTGTGAACGGGAGGTGCATTTGGGATTTATTGAAATGAATGGCACCGTGACACACCTCCTGGGGCAAAATTTGTCAGGCCAAAACGGAAAATGACTTTTCCCACTATATATATACATTTATTTATCTCTCTCTCTCTCTCTCTCTCTCTCTCTCTCTCTCTATTGCCTTTGGGGCGGGACAGAGGCATGTGGGCGGGACAGAGGATGGACGGTGTGGGGCAGAGGATGGACGCGCCAGGTGACCGGAGGGATGCGTCGGGTGACCGGAGGGACGCGCCGAGCAGAGGAACGGGCCGGGTGAACGGCAAAGCGGTCGGGTGAGCACAGGATTGGGCCGGGACAAAAAAGGACCTGGGTAGCAGCGGAAGTACCGGGGGCAGCGGGGGGGAAGGCAGTCACAGCGGTCTCTCTTCCCCGCTGATGCCGGCTATAGGGGTCTGTGTCCCCGCTGCCTCTGGCGATACAGGCAGGGAGAGCAGCAGGGATTAAAAGGGACACAGACCGCTGCAGCCAGCACCAGCGGGGAGGAGAGCAGCGCCAAATTATCAAATATCAACTAATCGATGATGAGAATCGTTGCCAACGTTTCTCATCATCGATTATAATCGTTTTACTCGATTAGTTGTTGCAGCTCTAGTTTGGGATGCTAAATCTCTTAAAGCAGTAGGTATTCTCAGTCAGGTCTTAAGCAGTATAGAGGTAATGATTCTCCCTAAGCAACTAGTGGCTGAAGGTTGACTATTTGCTCAAGTAGGGTCTGTGTGTGCAAAGAGGAAAAGACTAAGGGCCGGTTCACACCATATCCAATGGTACTGCAGACACACCTCCCTCCCCCAGTGCGATCGCCTGCACCAGAATGTGTGGTGCAGCAATTTATTTGTTAATATCTCAGTACCCGTTAGAGAAATTCACCCTCTTTATTTGTCCTGGTGACTACTGGGAAAATCTAAAATTGCCACACAAATGGCAAACAAAACTTGTCATGGGTTTTAACCATTCCCTGCATAATGCAAAATGAAAACAAAAAAGATGGCATTAAATATAGAGAGAAGTGTGGACCAGGTCAGTAATAGTGCTTTACACCAGTGGTCGCCAACTGGTGGTCCCTGAGAAAATTTTGGTGGTCCCCGGGCCCCTCTGATGCCGTGCAGGCTGGGCCATCATTGAAGTGGCACTGCGGCTCCGGGGCTGCCTCTCACTGATTCAAGCAGCGGCTGTCACAAGGAATGCGTGGCTCTCAGTACAGTGCAGGCTCTGCAGGAGGGCCAGTGGCAGAATGGA